AGTATGGAGAAGAGAAGGGACAGGGAGTCACAAAAGGCGTTACAGTTTATGGATTTGCACTGGGCCTTGCATTATTGATATGTTGTAATAGATGCACATAGGGTTGAGAGAAGTGAAGGCAAAAGAAATTTGAGATTCTGGAGATTTTTGTTCAATTTTAAATTAGCTTCCAGTATTGGGAGCTTCTAAAACAATGAATAAATTTTATAGCATAAACTTCATAGGAAAGAAAAATTATTGATAAATTTGTATCACACTCTCTATATTTCTATGGCTAAGTATTAGTGTGATTCCTACCCTCAGTCTATCCTAACTAATCAGAGCTTTACTGTTTGAATATTTGATCAGTGCATAAACCAGGAATCAGAGTTGTCTTTGAGGGAAAAAAAATCCCCCACAGACATTATTTAAAAGATGGAATAAGTTTCCTATGATTTTGCAACCAGCTGTCTACTAAGTATATGTGATCCCACATAAAACTGGGAAACTATTGAAAAACAAAGCATGGTTTAATGGAATTTTCATACCTGTTTTGGAATGACGACAAAATACACTCAGTAGAAGCATGTTTATGGTTCTTCAAAAGTACATTCAATTAGTTTTCTTAATGATTATTAACTTAAACTGAATCAGCTACATTTTGGTTGAATATTTGGACTTTTGATAGCTTTAAGAACTTAATGCAAAGAGGTACTTGGGGTTGCCACTCATGACTTAGATAACCATTGGTGCTGATGATGATGGAAAGGGAAAACATAATTGTCTTCTCCTTAAATAATCCAAATATTATTAGTGTATTAAAACAGTATAACTATATTTTTGTTTATTGCTGATTTTTCTATTTTACTGCAAACTTTATAAAAAAAGACAGAACACTTATAAACATAAAACTGGGTGCTACTTTTTAAAAGTTGGCATTTGATCACACGCTTAAGTCCTGCAATTACACACATGCTCAAGAAAATTCAATTTTATTTCATATGTATATATAGCTAATATGCAGTGTCCTCTCAGGAGTTTGATCACTCACTATAATGTGCACTGACCACCAGCAGCGAGTAGCTAGGGAAGGAAGGCCCCGGCCGGCATCCTGAAGGCCTCAATCAGCCCTAATTGCTGGCCAGGACTAGGGACTCCACCTGTGCACAAATTTCGTGCACTGGGCCTCTAGTTTTTAATAAAATCAGTTGAAAACAATATATTTATTTTGAATTCCCTTTGATACAATTTATATTCAAATCTATAGAAGTAGATTTTCATCTGAGGATGATAGGGAAGCAAAGAAAAAAATATTTTAGCCCAGCCAGCATAGCTCAGTCGTTGAGCATCCACCTATGAACCAGGAGGTAATGGTTCCATTCCTGGTCAGGACACATGCCCTAATTGCAGGCTTTTTTTTTTATCTTTCAAAATTTTTCTTTTCTAAAAAAATTTTGTTTTATTGCTTAAAGTATTACAAAGTGTATCATATATGTCTCCTTTTTATCCCCTTCTTGACATTCCCCCGTCTTCCCCTATCCCCCAGTATCTTATGTCCATTGGTTATGCTTATATGCATGCATACAAGTCCTTCAGTTGATCCCCCCCCCCTGCCCCCCAACCCTCCTCAGGCTTCCCGCTGTAGTTTGATAATCTGTTCCATGCCTAGTTGCAGGCTTTATCTCCAGTGTGGTGCATACCGATCAATGATTCTTTCTCATCATTGATGCTTCAATCTCTCTCTCCCTCTCCCTTACTCTCTGAAATCAATGAAAATATATTTTAAAAAAATGAAAAAATATTTTTAAAATAATTATTCAGTGAATAGTGAGAGGCTTGTATCATAGTTACCAAGTTTTGTTTGTTTTTGCTAGGGCACTATTGTATAATGGTAGCATTATTAGTTTTAAAGTAATAATTCACAGGAAATACTATGATAAAAATCTAATTAATTGACAAATGGGTGTCAATATGTTTAACAGTTTCACTCTTTCTTTCAAGAACAGTTAACATGATAGTAGTTATATGACACCCAACTGTAAGGGCAGAAATTTCACACCTCTGTTGATGTATATTTCAAAATAAATTTGTTTCAGTGTGCTTATTCATGAATCGCAGTTTCAAAGTTCAATCTATTAGAATCCCGCAGGCAGTAGGCAAACCTATGTATTGAATCTTTGTCATATACTACTACCTGGAGGATAAAAGAACCATTAAACAAAAACACTTTTTTTTAATTCTGTTTATATTTACAGATTTTTTTATAATAGCAGTTTGGCATAAAAAAACATTTAAATTAGTATTAGGCACTGTTTTACCAAAATATTTTAATTGAAGTCACCGGATATTTTATATTTACTATTTAGAGATAAACTCTTCTTCCAAAATATGAATGTTCAGAAGTTTACCACTTAATATTTAGAAGGAAATGTCATAACTATGAAATTTTATTTCTTCCTTATTTCACTGTGGGAATTTCTCTTGTTTAAGCCATCTAGTTTATGGTATTTGTTATGATATTTTGTTAACATCCTCCTGAGCCACCATAGTTTTAGAGGCTGGGAAGTCCAAGATCAAGGTGCCTGCTAATGCCGTTCCTGGTGAAAGCTCTTCTCACCATGTCTTCAGATGGCAAAGAGAAAAGAGGAGGAACAAATCGCTTTGTTGCCTCTTCTTATAAAGACACTAATTCTGTCATGAGGGCTCCACCATCATGAGGAATTGCCACTCAAAAACCTCATCACCAGATACCATCACATTAAGTATCAGGGTTTCAACATACAAATTTTGGGGAGACGGACATTCTGTCCATTGCATATGCAATCCAATGTGATTGTAGTGTCACCTACGCCAACATCTCTATATTGAAAGGACTGTTAATATTTCCATTATATATCCCTACTTTCCTCAATTTAAAACACAGCTGTAGAAAAACAAATCTATATCAAAAATTTGAAATACACAGTAAGAGATTAGGACACATTATCAAAAAATTCCAGAAATATGTCTTTACTTTTATTAAAATTTATGAAATGTCACCAAAGGTGATACCAAACTTTATTAAATTCTTATTGTTTGCATAACTTTTATTTTTTAAATATATTTTTATTGATTTCAGAGAGAAAGGGAGAAGGAGAGAGAGATCGAAACACCAATGATGAGAAATAATCATTGATCAGCTGCCTCCTACATGCCCCACACTGGGGATCGAGCTCTGATGAGGAATCAAACTGTGACCTTCTAGTTCATAGGTCGATGCTCAACCAGCGAGCCACACTGGCTGGGCCCTTTAATTTTTTTGAACTTTCCAGTAAAATTTTCCTCTTTTTCATATCATTTTAAACAGTCCCTAGAAATAAAAAAAACAACAAAATACTCTGATACTGAAACAAGATTTCAGAATCCATCTAAACACTTTCTACTCTTCGTTAGCATAGTTTGATGCCTATGCTTTGTCACTGATCATAAGACTGTGACCACAATTCCTTTGGAAGCTGGTCTTGCAGTATGTGGTTTAAATATTAGGACTATATGACAGAGGATATCAAGTTAGTGAATGACTGACTGTATAAGTCATAATTAATTTCCAGTGTTTAGCATTTCTCATCAAAGGAATTGGGAGCAAATGTTTTGATATTCTACTTTCTGTAAAATTGATCTCATTTTCTTTATACTTTATTCTATGTTTGCATTTATTTGAATTAAGTTTACATCATAAAACTGGGCT